TGTTACTAGAAGCGATGCACTTGTTTCTAGTAGCTTCTTGTTACTACCCTCTACCTCGGCCAAAAATTCAGTCTTTCCTAGATAGATTGTGATAGATGTCGCTCACCAAAGCGACTGCTGTGAGGTGTGAGACAGAAAGTGACTGTTCCACAGCGGCATCCACTTGGTTCGGTGTCGCTGGTCAAGAGTCTCTGAAAACCAACGTGTTTACCTCAGACTTCAACTAACTTTTCTTTCCATTCTAGTTACTAGAAAGCTTTATTGTTTCTAGCGATCGCCTCCACCTAGTAGCTTTTAGTTGCTAGCTTTTGGGCGGGGAATCCCAAATGTAGTGTCTAAGGCTCAATTGCGTCCATGTTGCATCCAGTTGCGGCAAAACATAATTCACCCAAAGTGGCTAGATTATGGATTAGGAAGAAATCAAGCACGCAGTCTAGCTCCCAATCGCTTTTGTAATTTGCCATACTATGTCCATGCCACAGTGACTATGTTTATCACTAAAAACATCATATTGAGAGAATTTCTCATGGCTGATTCCCCCTGTGCTCAGGTACAACATCTTCACCTGGAGCGAGCAAGTGACAGATTTTGTACGTGAGATCGTCCAGTCCGAGGTGATTTTGGTGGGGAATTCTCTGGGCTCTCTGGTGAGCCTGCTCTTTGGCCGCACCGATCGATCCTGCGAATCTCGCTGGATCTATACAAAGCGTTTCTGGTGATTTGTACATCTATCTATTTGGCACTGAGTGACTGGTGGTTCACAAGTGGGATTCACGGATCTGGCAAATATGGCCTTTCTTGTCTTGGAAGTTGGAATATAGTGGCTAGCTTTCGTTCTTGCGCCTCCAACCACAAGTCAGGAATCCTCACGGCAGGCACCCAGCAGAAACATGTGAGTTTGTGATGTGCTTGCGGGAATAGAAATTGTGTGTTTGTGTGGGGGGGCCAGACACACCATATGGCCTGATTCTAGTGCACCACCCTTTCCCTCACTCGGGAAGTTCCCTGGGGGAGTTGCCGGCGAAATCGAGGCAAGCGGGCATCGATGCACCGGAGCTGGTGCAAGGGCTGGTCCTGGTGAATCCACGATTTCGGCAGGACTGCAACCTAAGAGCGATGGCCTCCAACCCAATAGCGGTGAGTCCTGGTGAATCCATGACTTTGGCAGGAGCACGTTTCTGAGGCCCCAGCTTTGGCCAGGCCCTTGAGCCTCGACTGATGAGGAGGTTACAGCCATATGTCTAGTTGAGAACCCGGATGACTTTCACTGTTTTTCCAAGTGTGAGGTTAGCGGGCGCGACACAGCAAGGAGATAAAAGTGTGACTGATGATGTTTAAAGATAGTTTTCCATCATTGCCTCCTTGGTGGTGCATAGAAAATTGGAGTTTGTGAGATTTGGACGACCAGCAGATGTTCCAAGATGGCTGAGTCACTGATTCACTGATGAACTCACCGGAATTTGATGGGAGCAGATCGATGATGCTAGCTCATCCAGTTCTCATTTTGATGTTGAGCAGCAAAAGGTGCTTGACATTGGTGAACAGATCCACTGCCATCTGGTGTGGAAGGGGTCTTTTTGGGGGTTCCTTTGGGTTTTGGAGTTGGAATTTGCTTCACCAAGCGAATTGTTGTTTTGCTTCACTCAGGATCTCCTTGGTTCAACGTTTGCTGCGGGAGACCTGGCTGGGCCAATGGCTCTTCGACACCCTGAAGACGGAAGCTGCCGAGACTTGGCTGAAGCCGGACCTGGGAAACTGGCGAAAAACGGTCAGAAAAACTGGAAGTCAGGCTGTATGAGAACTTAGCGGCTAGCGAACATGATTTGATGTCATCAACATTGACGATGATTGCAGCAGAAACTACAAGTGTTTCCCCTTGTTGTTAGAAGCAAGTGGATCTCAGTTTGCCATTACTTTTTGCATTGAGCAACCAACTGGTTCTCGTGACCCACAGCCATATCAACGTAGGAAACAAAGGATCTCGAACAAAAGTTGTGTCTAGGAGCAAGGACGCTACTAGGGGCTCCTGGCCTTACTACTACGAACAAGAAGCTACTAGGAACAAAGGGCATCGCTACTAGGAACACGGACGCTACTAGTAACAAATGGCGAAGCTTGCCCTTGTTGGGCCAACCTGTTGGTGTCGTTGATGCTCGTTTGGAGGCGTGAAATGAGGATTTCCCACACAAATATCTTCGAATGCAATCTACATGTCTTCCAATGAAATACCACCAATTCCAACACATCCCATGTTCTTTCGCTCGAGGTGACGGAGATTCTGAAGGAGCCCTATTTCGACCCGTCCCAGGTGACCGAAGAGTTGGTCGAGGTCCTGCGACGACCGTTGCTCATGGAGGGCGCCATGGACACCTGGACGAGGAAATCGAAACGAAAAAGGGGCCTTGACCATGATTGATACGATCCATCATTCATGTCAGGTGAAGAACTTTCTACTTCAATACTTGGAGACCATTCAAACGGATCAAAGTGCGATCCAAATGCTTTCATATGTGCAGATCCGGGTTCAGGGGATTCGGTCAGATCTGGGTTCGGTTCGGTAGATCGAGATGTCGGTTGAGATCTCAGGAATCTACCTTTGACATCCTCTCCTACTCTACTGGGCCACTCTTGGAACAGCTCCTTCAGGAGTGAACATGCCTGTTGTCGGAAAATCGGAGCTAAGGTCTAACACAAGGCAATGGCCTAGCGGCCTAGCGATGGCCTCCAAGCTAAGTGGAGAGGTAAGGCTTAGGTGTTCATTCCGTAACTTTTTCATAGAGTGCCCTCTTCGATTGTGCGGGAGAGGTGAAGTCTCTGAAGTGTTCTTTCACGTCCTTGCTACTAGTAGCTTCTTGTTACTAGTAGTACGGCCAGGAGCCCCTAGTAGCGTCCTTGCTCCTAGTAGCGATGCCAGGAGCCCCTAGTAGCGTCCTTGCTACTAGTAGCTTCTTGTTACTAGTAGCGATGGCCTCCAACCTACTTGCGATGGCCTCCACCTAATAGCATCCTAATATCTCAGATGGAATGGATCGGTGGCAGATGGTTTGCCAACTGAGCTCACTCCTATGGTCCTCAAACTAATCTGGTCCAAGAGTCCATGAGCAGGTCGTATTGTTGGAAGACAGCCTAAGGTCACCTTGTGGGTCCACCATCATCACCTTTGGTTGTCGAAACATAGTTTCAACTCTTGCTCTTTTTAAGGTGGGTAGGCCGCTAGAGGTGAGGTAGGTAGTAGCTAAAGGTAGGCTAGTAGCCAGGTAGCTAGTAGCTTACTTAAGATACTAGCATGGATGCATGATAACTCACGCTATTCATTGGGTTCCTAGATACGCTTAATGACACTTAACTATAACTGTTGAAGGTGCTTCAAGATGAGTTTTCCTCCGGCTGTTCAACGTTAGTAAGTACGTTCGGCCGATATCTGCTCCCAACTTGGTGGCTCGGTTCTGACGAACAACTCCACTGTTCACGGAAGCCGCCTTCCCAAGAGCTGCCAGGTGTCCGTGTGAAACCAGCCCTGTGGTCATCTGCAAATGTCCTGAGCACCCGGCGCTTCCTTCTGACCAGAGAACTCAGAACACCTTCCAACGTTGAGCATGAGCATCTATCCTGCACTTGAGTTGGAGGCCATCGCTAGTAGGTGGTAAACTACATCGCTACGTTCTGTAGTTTATAGGGGTTCTTTTTCTTGAGCACGAGCGTTAAGCGTTGAGCATCGTGCGTTGAGCATCGCTTCGTGTGCGCTCGCAGGATGAGCGACTGAGATCTCCCATTTGGGTTTGTTGGGGTCAGCGAGATCCCTGGACTCCGATGAAGCGAGTCAAGGCTTTGGATGAGTTCCCCAATGTTGAGATGCTTGGACGGGAAGCTGTGGTTGTTTTTCAATCGTTTTTTGCCGGTCCACTGATTAATTAAGTAAGGTGTCTACTTAACTAAGTAAGGAGGAAGCTTCTAGGTAGGACGCAGAGGAAGCTGCCCCCCCAGGAGGGAGCTTCCTTGAAGAAGCACTCGCACTATTCTTTTGGTTCCTAGATGATTGGTGCACTGGAAATTCAGAAGTTGGTCAAGTTGGTGGGGCCAAATGTAGTCTTGGAAGTCATTGCTATTAGGTTGGAGGCCATCGCTACCAGCAGCAAACAGCTACTAGTAGCTTCTGGGTACTACAGGTGAAACGATTCCCATGTACATTTCTCAGGTCATGAAGTCCTGGAGGCACCATCTATCCAAATCCGAACCCCCAGTCTTTCAAGGAGCGCATGAGTTTCACGCGGTCGGGGAGTGGGAGGACATTGCCCCTTCAAAATGGGAGTTGGTCGGATTCGGCATGAGGCTGAATTGAATGTGAAAACCTCAATTAGGGTCTTCCATGTTTGCCTTTGGAGGTGTTTGAATCGGAATGGCCTGGCGGGAGGCACCTTGGATGCCCCTATCTCGTAGATTCTTTCTTTCAGCCAACGGTCCGAGGAAACTTGTGGAGTTCCCGAACGTGGGTCATTGCCCACACGATGAGTCTCCATCTTTGGTCAACGGTTTGATCCTGGATTTCCTGCAGCATCTTTCGAGCAAAGCATCAAAGCCAGCATGACACCATGCGACGCATCATGCAATGCCCCTTTGTGAGAGCTTTCGCGGTTTAATTCGACAGGGAACGAGTGGTGGCAAGAGCGCCGCAGGAAACAACTTTGAGTAGTCAAGCTGTGCAAGGCCACGAGATGTTTCAATCATGTCGGATGTCAGATGTGTTAATCATACAATGGGAGGCAATAGTAAAAAGTGTTCGCAGAAATATTCCCACACCCTGAATGGTTTAATGGGAGGGAAAAAAATATTGGTTTTTTTAACATGATGTTTTTTACTTGTCTATTGTTCTGCTATGGCTGCCCTATACACTCCTTACTTAACTCTTCTGAGATTTGATTGAGTCACAGAATTCTGACCTGGAGACCTTTTTCAAAAACGCTCATTAAAGCTCGAAGATTACATTGCTACTACTACTACTACTACTACTACTACTACTACTACCAAGACTACTACTAAGAATAACAATAGTAGTAACAGTAATAACTTGTAACAAATATGGTACTTTTGGTGGTAGGGATTCTGTTCAGATACCCTCGATTGTTTGCTGGGAAGGGGGTAGGGGGGCGGTTTATACTGTTTAAGATCCAACATTACAATAAATATGTATACATGTATACACTAATTATGTAATAGTTATTCTAATGTAATGCTGAAAGATCTCCAGCTGAAAGGCCGGGACTGGGATAGCAGGCTACTTCTTACTCCGCAGCTTGGGATGCCACAGCTTTGCATCGCTCGCAAAGAAAGCGAGCTTGTGGGTCCAGAGGAGGGAGGAATGATGTTGAGGGCTTTGCATCACTCCTTCTCAGGTGCGGTGTTGGAGTAGCTAGGCTTGTTTGGCTGCCTGCTTTTCCCCTTCAAACCCTTCAAACCACCACCCTGCTCGCGAAAGAAATCCTGAGCCATTTCATGTCCTTCTGGTCCTTGGGCTAAGTCATGCCCACAGCACTGTCCCTCCGCCCCAATGTAAATCAATCGAGGTTTGAAATCCCACAAGGTCTTGGGTTTGCCTTGCACCCTTGCTGTGGAAGTTGCCAGCTTTGCACGGGAAGCCTCGCTAGCCAGCATCGCTCCACGCCACACTCCCCGCCCAACTCCAGTAGCGTCCTTGCTACTAGTAGCTTCTTGTTACTAGTAGTACGGCCAGGAGCCCCTAGTAGCGTCCTTGCTCCTAGTAGCGATGCCAGGAGCCCCTAGTAGCGTCCTTGCTCTGGACTGCTAGGCATCGGAGGGATGTTGGGTCATCCCCGATGCCCGCAGACCTCAGACCGTGATGTCAGACTTTTTCAGCGGGAGTCGCTGGGAGTATGGAGCAATCTTGGCTAGTGAGACGTCATAGCATGGCAGTGGCATCGCGCAAACTTAAGGCTCCCCAAGTGCTGTGAGCCAAGTTGGGAGTGGACTCAGGATAGCTGATGCTTCTTCAACGTAGCGTCTTGTTACTAGTAGCGATGGCCTTCACACTAATAGCTTCTTGTTACTAGTAGCTTCTTGCTCTTATTTGCTCCTAGTAACGTCCTTGCTACTAAGAAATATGAAAGATCTTGCGACCTTGCATTCTTTGACTGGGCGTAGGATTTGCACTTAGGGATGCCGATGTAGAGCGAAGGGCGCAAGCTGTTGGCAGAAAAGCTGTGCAGGGAGAACGGTGCCGATCCCACCACTGCCTGACAATCGCATGTGAAGACGGATATGCACAATCGTTCTTCATGTAGGCATGTCTTGTTTTGGCGGAAGCCTTCCAAGGTGGCCCAAAACCACCACAAATCCAACTTGTGAAATTCTGATGCCCGCCAGACATTGCAATTTGATTTGAGAGGAAATATATACACATCAAATGTCACTCATTCTCAAACCCAAGACCCTTGTTCAACCAGAATAGGAATGCCGCATGCCTGTCATCCCAGTATCTTTCAGTCATTGACTAAACTTGAGACATAACAGTCAGCAAGCCTCCAGGTACCGGAAAATTCGAAATCTGAATCCAAGTTTTGGGAAATATGAACAAAAGAGCGACAAGTGGTGGCAAACGTGAAAAAAAGAACAGCGAAAGTACGATGATATGTTTTTACATGTTGTATCGTTGTTATCATTTGTGTTGTTGTACTTACGACCTGTCTCAAGACTAGACGCAGTCCTGAAGACTACCACATTGAACCTTATCAAAAGTGCGTAAATGGATAACCCACATATGACGCTATTCTTTTTTGGCCTACGCTATCGGTGTGTACATCGGTATTTCGTGGGGCTGCAGTGACTTGCCCTGGAGCTCTTTTTCGATACTAAAATCTTGCAAATTATTGGGCACTATTGTAACATACTCGTCACCCGCCTGTTTCGAACGTGTTGGCCCATCCGTCACAAGAGGTCCACTCACATTCCGGCACAGTCAGCACTACAATGATCTCTAGAGAGTTCCACCAATGTTCATTCAACTCAAGTTCCAAAGGCCACCCGCCTAGGTATGCAGGTGCTGAGCTTGGAGGCTCCTAGGCGGGACCGTGCCGCCGAGTAACGTTTCAGAGTCCCCTAGTGACGAACATTGTTACTAGTAGCTTCTTGTTCCTAGTACTAAGGCCAGGAGCCCCTAGTAGCGTTCTTGCTCCTAGTAGCGATGCCAGGAGCCCCTAGTAGCGTCCTTGTTAGTCTCAGAGATGCATCAGAGTAGCACTTAGATGGCCTCCACCCTGGTAGCGATGGCCTCTCCCAGAGATTGGTTTGCGAATTTGCATGGTTCTTTTTCTCGTCCGCTTGGAGAGGGTTCATCCATGTGCGTCAAGAAAATCAGCTAGCTGCGGGCGAGTCTCACTGGCCGATCGTGTTCCAAGTGTTCAGGTCACAATTGTTCCGTACTGAAAACGGCATGTAAGAGATCCAAACTTATCCAAATAAGCTAATCGTCATCCAGAGCCGGACCTGACTCCAGTTTGGCAGGCGAGCGGACAGCAGACCAAGAGGTTGGGCTCCAGCTGATGGGAGAAGTGATGGGATTGTGTGAAGTTGCAAAGAGCGGTTGAAACGTTCGCAAGTGTTAGAGTAGCAAAAGGGTAATCACATTCCTCATCTGGTTGGAAAGTTGCTTCTGGACCACAGCCCTGAAGTTGCGCAGGAACAAGATGCATTCAAGGAGGAGCAGACGACTTCAGGCCCTGGCTGCCAGAAACGAAGGGTCGTCATATGTATGAAGGTGCCTCTACCAAAAACCTACGAGCGATGGCCTCCAACCTACTAGCTCTGGGGTCTCAACCAAAACCGACCCTTGGATTGAAAGTACATCTCATATGCTATGGCCCATTGCTATTAGGTTGGAGGCCATCGCTTATAGTAATATCACCACGTGCTTGACCCACATCCAGGAGTGTTGCAGTTGTGCCTGGACGGGCAGGTGAATTTGCTCGATCGCCCAAACATCTCTGGGGGTCACAAGTTAGGGTTGAAAGTTGGATGAAGCACCAGGAACGTTCTTGTTCTCTCGTAGCGAGGCCAGGAGCCCCGTTCGTAGCGTCCTTGCTACTTGAAGTACGAAGTCAGAATGGGTCAAACGCCCAAGACTCGGTTCCCGTTCGGTTCCCGTTCGGTTCCCGCGGGAAGCGGTTCTTCTCGGTTCGCCGTGTGCTTCACACAAGGACGAAATCCCCGCAGTTAGGCTTTCAGATCGATGAGTTTGATGTTGTGAAGCCCGTTTGGTTGACCAAAAACCCATTTGCACAGCTGTTGAAACCTTTACGCTTGGTCATACTACAGTCTGGATGGTCTTCTAAGATTTCTGGATGTTGAATATTCATGCAGTGAAAGATAGTGAACGCGCCATTGGTCAACAAACCGACTTTAAGATCTTTTGGAAGATGTGCAGAGACTTATGAAAAGATGAGCTTCTGAAGTGGGTCAACACTGATGGGACACTTCTTCACTGATGCCACACTCAGGGCCTAGAGTTGAGGCGAAAACCGAACACGTCACGTGGCTGAGGTCTCCAGAGACCTCCTTGGACCCCTCTGCGAGACAAAGAGCACCGCTCGTGGAGAAAAGAGTGATTTTCGGATCCTCACAGCGACACGAAACTCGAAAGCAGAGGATTGCCTTGAGCCATGTGTTTCTAATAGCTTCTTGTTACTACTAGTAAGGCACTTGTTACTAGTAGCGATGCACTTGTTTCTAATAGCTTCTTGCTAGTGGTATTGCTTGCTACTTGGTAAAGGAATACTCGTAATTACTTGTTCGCCTTTTCAGTCACTTGTTGCCACAAAGTCGGCCTCAAGCGCGCAGCAAAGCAGTTCGACGGTTGGTCCATTCTGCTTCAGATGTTCAACAGATGTCAGGACGCTCGCAGGAAGCGTTTCTGCGCGCATCGCGTTTCTCCGGCTCAAGGGGATCAACATCGGGGTGGGACGTGATGCCTTAACCTCAGATCCTTAGTCGTTGGTCATCGTTGGTCCAGTGTCCTTGGCCTTTCTAAATACTCGGTGCACCAACAATACCGAGCTAGATGTTTTTGGTCCGGTCCTTGTACAGGGCAACCGCCTCCAACAGTGAACAGCAAGATCTACCACGATCGAGGCAAGTTCAAAACACTGAGACTCAAAGACAGAACAGATTTTTTTGGTTTCAGGAAACTTCAATGTAAAAACTTCAACACACAGATTTTGAAGTCTAGAACACTGGAGCCCTACCTTGTTTGGCTGTATGGCTTTTGCGTTGAACAGTGTCCATGTCTAGAGCACGGTGACACCGTCATCAGGGGTTCAAGATCGGTCAGTGCTCGTGCCTCCTCAGGTCCGAAAGAAATCACATGGGAAGTACCCGTAAGTCCCTTTCCAAGAGAAACATGAGAAACCACACCAGATCCTGACTCCACACACCAAATTGAGCGGTGTTGCTGCGGGAGCTCTGAGGTATTGCTACTGTTGCTGGCAGGAAGATACCAGCAAGCCGCAGCTTCACCTGCACTTGAGCTATCGATTCCACTGCCATTCAAATGACATTTATGAACGAAAGACATGTTGTAGGCCACTGAGCAGATAAGTGATTGCTTGGTATGGCCCAGCAGTTTCCCTGCTTCTTGGTTTTGCTTTGCACCAAGAACGGGTGGATTCGCGAAAATCATGTCTTGACGCAAAAAAGGGAGATCTCATTCGAGCATTCCTACCATTCCTCTCCTTGGCCTTTGGGCCCGGGTGTAATAGCAATGGCCTCCAACCTACTAGCGATGGCCTCCAACCTGCCAAAAGCCCGGGCCTTCAGGCAAGACGTCCTGGACATCACTGATGAAAAGCAGCGGACAACGTTTCCGACCGAAAGTGCCATGGCTACACGCACAATGGAGGCGACGCAAGACGCGAACAGCAGAAGAATGTGCTGAGTTTTGAGTGGAGCGGAAGAGAAAATAGGAAGATTCCGTTCCAATCATCAAAGTTTACTTCCAACGACTAGGACGTGCAACTTGATTCATCCTTCCTTTCTTCATTTCTGTCCTTTTTCCCTACTAGTAACAAGTGCCACGCTAGTAGTAACAGGTGCCTTACTAGTAGTAACAAGAAGCTATTAGTAACAAGTGCCACGCTATTATTTCAGACTTGTTGGACCTGGTCTTAGATCTTTCAGCATCGCTGCTAGTAGCGTCCTTGCTACTAGTAGCGATGCCAGGAGCCCCTAGTAGCGAACCTTGTTACTACTAGTAAGGCACTTGTTAGTAGAAGCGATGCACTTGTTCCTAGTAGCGTCCTTGCTACTATCGTCCTAGCTACTATGTTCGTCTTTTCTGAAGTTGAAAGGTAAAAAGTATTATCGTTAAGTCCCTCGGACAGGATACGCCATATACCTTCACGGTGAAGTACCGGCGGAAGGGGCCCTTGTTTCTGGACCAGACCGACGTCCACAATGCGCCTCGGCCAAGGGGGTCGGGGCCACGATGGGGCCAGGGAATTGGCCAAGGTCTTGCGGATCAGAAACTTGAGAAAGGTGATTTGTTAGAAGCCTTTGTCAAGAAGTAACAAGTAACTTACTAGTAGTAACAAGTGCCTTACTAGTAGTAACAATAAGAATTTAATTAGAATTGTAATTACTAGCAAAGGAATCTACTAGGACCTTTTCGATCCTCTCAGCCCCTCGCCCCTGCTCTCCTCATGATCTCTTTGAGCTTCTTGGCAGACGACAACGAAGAGGAAATTCCAGCACAGTGTTCTTCGATTTCCACTGGCTTTCGGTCGTACCCGCTGATTGGATGAGTTTCTTCTTCGCCTGCCTACGCCACAGAGGTGAACGACTATTGCTCCTAGATCATGTCTTGTGACACACTGGGGCGTTCGAGTGTTCTGCGAACTGAAAATATCTCGAACCCTTTGGTTGAGTGCTATTAAATGAGCGGGGTTCCTTTGAAGCAACCCCTCTATGTTTGGGAAAGGTTTTTGAGCCCGTATTAGCCACCGTGCCATCAGGCTGGGGCACTGCTGATCTGAGGTGTTGATCAAAGACGTCACTGGACCTCTACTTGAGACTTTGCTCAGACAAAGTTGCCATGTTCGGATCAGTCTTGTCGGGGATCTGGCATCAAGTGAACACTTCAGTAGGACCGGATAAGATGTAGCTGAAGATAGCCAAACTGTCCATCGATGGCCTCTCACCTCAATCAAAGCTTTGTTTACTCTACAGATTCCTGCACCGTTCAAGGTTCAAGTACGGCCAGCCCCTAGTAGCTTCTTGTTCCTAGTAGCGAAAAAGAAGTGCCGGTTCAGAATTGCTTTCATGTCCTTCACCCCAAAGGTTCAACGAGTGGTGTCCCCGTCTCCTGGACATCGTCGATTTGGCCAAACAGGAGACTCGAAGAATTGTTTGCCCGACGGTGCCAAGGACTGGAACAACAGTCATTTAGACCACGAAGTCAGGAGATATGACCGGATCGCACAGGTGGGATCGGACGGGACGGGAGATGGGACGAAGGGAAGGAATGGTGACCGAGAAGCTACGAACGTAACGCTACTAGTAGCGATGCCCTTGTTCCTAGTAGCTTCTTGCTACGTTTGCAGTAATGCCCTTGTTCCTAGTAGCGATGCATCTTGTTACCAGTAGCATTCTGTTCACCTGATGTTCTGTTTCGCTGGCGATATGTTGCGGCATTTGGCCCTGTCACTCTTGCGAAGATCCCCACGCCGTTCTTGGACTTAGTGGACAGCCGGCATTGGCACTGATGTTCCTATGATGTTCCTATGATGTTTCTTATGCAGGTGATGTCGATCGAGCGTGGGTTCAGTTGATCCAACAAGCTTTGGGCGTAGCTCCTAGCGCTACTCGGAACAAGGACGCTACGAACGGGGCTCCTGGCCTTACTACTAGGAACAAGAAGCTACTAGTAACAAGGTGCATCGCGACGAACGGAGCAAGGGCATTACTATTGGTAGCAAGAAGCTAGTAGGTTTTCGGACAAGATCTTGTTTTCAGATCTGCCAGGTGAACGGTAAAAAGATCTCTGGCAACGATGTGGAGCTTCATTTGGAGGACACGTGCTAAGAAGAGTGCTCCACTCTTCTTCGGCTTGGGACTTTTCTAGTCATTTCCTGACTCCTCCTCATTTGTTCCTCTAAATGTAGATATGAAGTCTGCCCAGTCCACGAAAGGGCCTTGAACGGCCCAAGGCCATTAGAGCCCTCACATAACGCCCAGAATAAGTAGTACAATCTCAGCCAGTGCTGTAGTAAGTCCAAAATCTGGAAATAGTTGTGCAGACCGAGCCGTGCAAGCATGCCTGAATGAGCTATCAATCGAAGAATTCGATTATCATACTGCTCAAGAGCACAACGCTAGCCGCTAGCCCTTTGGCATCATCTCATTTGGTTTAACAACGTTTAACAAAGCACAGGGCCTTGGTAAAGAAAACAGGCGTCCAAGAAGACTCCGAGCATGTGGCATCCACACGGTTCAGGGATTTGCAGGGCCTCCCGGTCCGCGCTTCTTGCTACTAGTAGTAACGGCCTTCACCCTAGTAGCGATGGCCTCCGCCCTGGTAGCGTCCTTGCACCTAGTAGCCAAAACATGTGTGGACATGCCGACGGCTCTTGCTGAAAGCTGACTAAGCAGTTCAAGATCTTAGTCGGTATCAGATGGAACAGAATCGTGAACCGCTTCTTTCAAAAAGACCCTCCAATCGATATAGACGCTCTCTACACTTCTCAAGTGATGCATGTCACTTTGCATTTGGATCTCATGAATGTCACGCAGCCAACACCAAAGGTTAGATGTGAGCCTGCGCGTGGAAAAGCTGATCTCTTCAACATCTCCACATTCCTTTGCTTCTTGGGTTTGTCATCGTGCTTGTCACCGCCATCTCATCTAAGCCAAGAGCTCAAACTTTGCCAATGCAGCCAGAAACCATTGGTGGACTCCTTTGATCACTCCACAGACAAACCATAAACCACGGAAGATTGCCAAGAGGTGCCAGTCGGAATGTCTCTCGTTTGGGCTTCTTCGTCGCTCGCTCTCGCAGGACAAGAGCTCTTCGGAGATCCTCCTCACCCTTCTCCGCCCTGCCAAGCGACGGGTGACCTTGCACAGACCTGGGTGCCTTGGTGCGCATCGAGCGAAACACACGAGTTTTTAAAGAACAAACCCCTCCAACAGCGATGGCCTCCAACCGAATCGCGATGACCTCCAACCTTACTAGCACGCATCCTTGGGGTCGTGCCCAACACCTAATGGCCCAACATCATCATTTCCTTCGTGCCCAGCACCTTTTTAGCCTCATAAGCTTCTAGGAACAAGTGCATCGCTACTGGTAACAAGTGCCTTACTAGTAGTAACAAGAAGCTAGTAGAAACAACAAGTAAATAGACTTTCAGATGAGATCTCGAGCCCAATGGCTCGGACCAGAGAGTCCAGCAACTGTGGATGACGCCCCGACGCCGGAAGAGCCAGAGAGAGTCACCCCAAAATCGATAACACCGTGACTAGTGTTGTTCATGGAGAGGTGGGTCTTTTGATCGGTTGAAAGGAACCATGAACGCTACAAGTATCGCACAAAGTTTGGTTGCTTCCCCTTCAGTTCACTGAACTTTGAAGACTTGGAAGCTCTTGTCAGTCTTTTTTTTGCATCTCCAATGCACTTAAGCCGGTGGTTCACCTCAGGCTCCTTCTGAGCAGCCATCCATCCAAGTTGGCGCAAGCACATTTTTGTGCTATGAGACAAGTGAGAACTCGGAGCTTATGCACTTGTTGTGTCCCTTTGAAACGGTGAAAGTGTGATTTCGTGTGCCCCCGTTTCGGAGCAGTCAGTTCCCTCAGGAAGCTGGGCGTAGATCTTCAGTATCGGAAGTCCAGCACCAAGCCCTGGCTGACGAACATCACCGAGGGCCTTTTGATGCAGTGGAACCAGGCGCCTCCGAACAGCGTTCCGGCCTTGGGATGTGCCCAGGTGGATCGCAGTTCAGTGGTTGGTTGACTTATCAGCTTGTAAAAGATTCTTTTGGGGGGTATGCCAAAACCCGGCATGTTATTCTCCAAGTCTATGTCCAATGAAAACTGTTTTACATTCAGATCATTTTGCACTTGGTTTCCTGTACGAAAGCAACATATCTCAAATGAGTTCTCATTGGAAAAGCCGTGGTGCGGGCGGGTATATTCATGTATTCATGTAGAAACAGCAACAGGAGAAGCACGGCAAAGAACCATCCACCCGAAAGTTGGTGAGGTCAAAGGATGACTACCATGACCACTATACCTACTAGCGATGGCCTCCAACCTAAGAGCAATGGCCTCCAACCTACTACGTAGCGATGGCCTCCACCCTACTAGCGGTGACCTCCAATTCCTCCAGTCCATTTCAGTCCTTGGTTGAGACACTTGGGTCTCGACTCAAGGTCTGTAGCGATGCCCTTTGCTCCTAGTAGCGTCCTTGCTCCTAGTAGCGATGCCAGGAGCCCCTAGTAGCTTCTTGTTTCTAGTAGTAAGGCCAGGAGCCCCTAGTAGCGTTCTTGCTCCTAGTAGCGATGCTCTTTGCTCCTAGTAGCGTCCTTGCTCCTTGTCGGCTCCCTTCGCCCAGGAGAATCCATGCGAGATCGTCACTGCTCACGACCGGCTCCTCACGGCGCGTGGGTGCGTGGGTTTGGAGCGGCAGGGGCAGGGGAAGACACCGAGGAGCAAAGAACAGGACATCCCATTCGAAGGTGCCAAGCCGGACGGAAGCTAGGACGCTACGAACGGAGCAAAGACGCTACTAGGGGCTCCTGGCCTTACTACTGGGAGCAAGTGCCTCGCTACTAGTAACAAAGGGCATCGCTACTAGGAGCAAGGACGGTACTAGGAGCAAAGGATCCCGACGAGGCATCAGACATGATCCCCACGAGGCCACGAGGCCACGGAACTGGTGGAGGAAGAGTGGTTCCAAAAGAAGAGTGGTTCCACGGCCTTGGGTTCTTGCGCTTCCCTGTAGAGCATACTTTGGACCTCTTGAGGGCATTCAGAAAGAAGGAATGCATCTCCGATGTTTTGCCCATTGCAGATCCAGTAGCTTCTTGTTTTAATTCTAATTAAAGTCAAATTAATTTAGTTTCAATTCTAATTCTAGTGAATTTTTGTTCCTAGTAGCGATGCCAGGAGCCCCTAGTAGCGTCCATGTTCCTCTCCAATGTTTTGCCCAACATTGCAGCTGCTGCCCAACGTGCTTGCAGCCCCCCGTCACCACAGGTGAATTCCAGAGAGGATCTGGATGGTGTCATCGACGAAGTCCGTGGACCCAGCCGCTTGGACGTAGATCGTGGACCCTTTCGCTTCGCACACAGACCATCCGACGCACGGAACTCCAGTCGTGTGGTGTTTTTCCCAAAGACACGTGGCTCGTGACTGGAGATCTGTGTGCAACCTAGTGCACTAGTTATTGAATTGGGCTTCATAAAAGTCCTCCACAATGTCGCCCATGCAGATCTAGCTCAGCAACTCCTCCGAAATTGGGATAACCAGTTACACCTCACGACGAATGAAGGGCCATCTCACCAGCACGTGCTTTATATTCAAGATAATGATGAGGCAGACAGAGCGGCAGTTGAGACTCACCACCATGATCAGGACCAAGCGAAACATCCCAACGCCCAAAGAAAACAATGCTGATGTTTACTTGCTGTCCTATTCTTTAAATGTATTTAGCCCACTATACTATATAATATATATATATGGTGTCTTTTTTTGCCCAGGGGGTAGGCCGTAGAGCAAGGAGGTAGTAGTTAGAGTAGCTAGTAGTTTAAGTAGCTACTAGTAAGCACGCACAATAGCTCACGCACTAATCATATGGTTTCTAGCTTTTTAAGGAAACTTACTTGATGTTTACTTGCTGTCCCAATAGAAAGGCTGTTCATGAGTCATGAGAAGCAGGAAGGGTTCCTTTTTCTGAGCGTGTTAAAGCACCAGTTCTGACGTTCCTGATTCCGGAACCTCATTGAGGGGCTTGGCAGACAGCCAGCCCCCTTAGGAGGTTTGGCATACATGTAACCCTTGTTGAGTTCATTCATTGTGGAAGAACCTTGTATGAATCGTTGTTGAATCATTCACGGAAAGGTTTAAAACTTTGTATGTGGCCGTACCTCCTTCAAGGCCAGCCAACCCTGCAAAAGCGTGGTGAGAAATTGTCGAACTGTTTTTGGTAATTTTCGTTGGTCTCATGATCTTGTTCCATTTGAGATGTTACACCAGATTGATCACCACACAGGTGCCGCATACAATTCCCTTTCACATATTTGGCCCTACCTTGTTAAACTTAATAAGGCCTATACGACAAAGAGAGAGCAGGAAATATGCCCACGAATGCCCATGACGACTCCCAAATGACATGGACAATAGCTGGTGTGAACTCGCAAGTTCTTTCTTATGCTGGGCTCAGCTTGCCAGTGAAGCCGCCTCATTCTGTTGAGGCCGATCTTCAGAAACGCGCCGAAACATCCCGGCCAATCGTTTGAGACATTGACCAGTTGACCAAAATAGATATGTTTCCGAAATATGACGACAGAATCGGGCAGCATGCCCCAGCTCAATGACAAACCAGACAGCCGGAATACACTGTCGCCTAGTCCTTTCCAAGGGAGAATGAACGATGCGATCTCTTTGCCAGTATCAGTTAACTTTGCCGCACGACCCTCTTTCCCATTGCCCTTGATCTTCCACACCCAGATAACCTGAAGGAAGCTTCCTTGGGATTCGTTTCACTGGGAATCGTTCCACCTGTAGTAACAAGAAGTCTTTTAGTATGTTTTTGAAGCTTCTTAGTACAAGAAACCTTTGCGCTGGAGATTCCGAGCGACTGTCTTCTGGCACCTTCGATCCCATCCCTTGCAACATTAACCAGATCCAGCACTAGGTTAAGCAACCTTGCGTAATGCGATTGATGCGATTGTGTCTATGGCTTACCCTAGCCTTTCCCTTGGTGTTTCCATGTGTTCCTTCCAAATTCCGTCTTGACGCAGCTGAGACCATAAGTCGTGTGACCAGGCGGTACCAAGAAAAGCACGTCGAAGCTAGTCAGGGCTGGGAGAAGCCAAGGCACCACGCTGGTCCTGGAGGTTTTACATTACGGTATCGGGCTTCATTGAGGCTCTTGGCCTGTCGGCTGTTGGCCTGTCGACTCTTGAACAAGCGCGGAAAAGAAGCTGAGGCGTCAAGAGATTGAAAAAGAAAGAGGAAGTAATACTTAGAACGTCATTGTTGTATATAACTAAACAGATGTTTGATGGTGATCCGTGCTTTTCACGTTGCATCTTTGTGTCCCTTAACATGCCAGGCCACTTCAAAGCTCCACCTGAGGCCGCATCGTTGCCGAAGCCAACGACTGCGGTGTGAAAAGTCTAAAGACGAGCTGTGAAAACGAGGAACGAGAAACAATAAGCTACTAGTAACAAGTGCATCGCTACTAGTAACAAGTGCCTTACTAGTAGTAACAAGAAGCTATTAGAATTAAGTGGCCTGCAACCTAAGAGCAATGGCCTCCAACCTAGTAGCTTCTTACTACTAGTAGTAATGCCCTTGTTACTAGTAGCTTCTTGTTTCTAGTAGCAATGGCCTCCAGCCTTAAGAGCGATGGCCTCCAACCTACCTTGGCAAATCGGATGTTTTTAATGGAAAGGTAGTGTGCTATAGCGTTCTTGCTACTAGTAGTAAGGCCAGGAGCTACTAGTAGCGTCCTTGCTCAAAAGCAATATTTGTGGCAGATAAACTTGATGTCCTTGGGTGGAGTCAAGATCATAAAGCTCCAGGCGGTATAGCTTTCAACTGTGACACGAAAGGCATGCCAACAGAGTAGGAGTAGGTGGACGTGAAAACCAGCTACTTCGACTGCTTTGGATCGCCAAGCCACCCAGCTTCCAGTTGGTAACCAGGTTCATCGCCTGCAAGTGGGATCACCCTGCGAATTACGTTCTGAAATGGTTCATAATGCCAGAGAGGGCCCCCTTGTGACAAGTGGCTGCTAATCCCATTTCTCAACTGGAGCTCTTTTCAACTGCTAGAGTATGCTGATGTGAAAGGGAATTGTTGACTCAGCTCGTTCTGATTTTCACTCGGTCACAATGATTGGCCATCGAATTCATGCTGCTGATCATGAGATGATACCAAAGGTAGCCAAGAAGAACCTGCATTGCACATACGCAAAAAATGTGCTAAACGGTTTGGAAAGAAATCACTCGCCATGCTGGGTTTCTGCGCTTTGTTGCCCCCTTACAGTAGGTCAGGACCAGTTGGTAGGTGATCACAGAGTCAGCTGCCCAGAACCACCAAAAAATGTGAAAAACCCAGGGGAGCCATCGTCCCACTGTTCAGGTTGCCTAGGAAAGCCATGATCCACGTGTTTGGTGAAAGCAATGATCAGGGCAAAGATCTTGATAAGCAGAAGTACCCTGAAGGCTGTGGATTATGTAGCGCCTTGCTCGTAGAACCAAACTGGGAAACTGTTATATAAGCTCCAGCTATCCTGGGCTATGTCATCCCACTTACTTTACACAAAGCGGCTTTTCCGTTGAAAAACATATGTTCGCATAGGTTCTTGATTTGACAAAAAGTACGCTTGGTTCGCTGCGTGCACATGGATTCCTGTTTCTCCTCCTCACTTACCCATTGACTCAAACAAATCCTTTCTGAGCGTATTTGGCACAGATAACTCTTTGTTCCAAAGAGCAACTTTGAACAATTTGCGGATCACTCAAACACGATCAAGACATCCAAACCCGGAACAATTCCCAGACGGCCCTGATTCTGAAGCCTTTGAAAACTTCAAGACGTTATTCAACAACAATAAGCTACTAGGAACAAGTGCATCGCTACTAGTAACAAGTGCCTTACTAGTAGTAACAAGAAGCTAGTAGAAACAGTGACAGTAGTTACCTTCCGTTTTCTGTTTCCAAAAAAACAAGTCTTCAAAAGCCATTTGCTTCTCATGGCTCCATCCACCACCGCACTCCAACAAAAACGTGGCGGATCTCAGTTGGCCCAAGCTCCAGGGAGGAGAACGCCGACTTTCAACGCGACTGGCCCCACCACCGAATCATGTTTTCGGATCTTTCTTTGTTTCTTTGATATCATGTTCTTGTCTATAGACAATAGATATCTAGACTAGACATTTGACTTGTTATTCTTCCTTCCCCTGCTTAGCCACAAGTCGAAGACTTTGGAAGCACACTTTTTGCAACAGGGATGACTGGAGACCTCCTTGACGGACATTGACAAAGATTGACTTAGAGAATTGTGAAGAACACATGAACCGCGACTGAAGCTTCCATGAAAGGTTTAGCAGGGTACGAAGATGGATGAACTATTCCTTTGCAAAGAACATTCTTCGGCCGGACCTCGAACGCAAGAAAGGTCAAAGAGCACCCACCGACGGATTGGACTGCATAGAGCATCACCATTTCCGAAGTGACAAAAATACATGTATTCTGTATTCAGAGTTGCTTTGTTTTCTGGCTTTTGCTGCCCCACAAACCTTGAAGACCGCCCGCGAAGTTCGGACACCGCGTGACCTTTTTGACCAACGATGACCCATACAAGAAAATCCCTCAAAACCTAGGACCGTTTCAACTTCCAGCCATGGAAAGGATTCTGTTCCATCTCCGTGCATGTTGTTATTTTACTCCCTCTTAGGCCCTTATAGGTTTTCTTAGGTGCCATTGTTTGAGCTGCTTGCCACACCTGAATGGTGGCATGTGAATTCCAAGTCTCACCAATGCCAAGATCTTTTTTTGCATGTGGTCAACGCTACCCCTGTGAAGAAACTGGGAGATGAACATCAGATTCCAGCCCGCCGACGGTTCTATTCATTTTTACACCGGGCTTCACGTGAACCCCTGGAAAATTCCTAGCCTGGAGCATCCTACATTACCGAATAAAGACCTTGAACTGCACTTTGTCCAGATATTCTGGTCGCAAGGATCGCGAAAGCATCATTGTTTTGTCAAGTTGATTCATGAGGTATTGAGGAAACCCGCTGTTAGGTTGGAGGCCATCGCTTCTAGGTTGGAGGCCATTGCTATTCGGTTGGAGGCCTGGTTCAATGTCTTGGGTTTGGAAGTTCGCATCAGTGATTCGCAGAAATGGCACTGGGATGTCTCATGTTGTTCTATTATCATTCGGAGCGGGCTTTGACCGACTTGACATCAGCAGTGCTTTGCTCAAGGTGCAGCCAAAGTTGCTGCACACAATCAGATGTGCCAGTGTGCTTGTTTTCTACCAGCCCGACTAGGCTATGTCGGGGCAGATACCCTTAGAGCACACTTTGAAGCATGTGCAAAATTCAAGCTCTGCCTACAGCACATTGCTTTGTGCAGTTGCAAAAGAGTTGTGGTCCACAAACAGAGAAGCTATGCATAGATTCGTTCCTGATGAGCATGCCTAGAAGTAACACAGCGTGTTTGAGCGTGGCCCCGTTGTGCCAAAAGGGTGAACTTGGCCACTTGAGCCAGCATTGGTGAATAGTTGGATATATGATTTGGGGGAAACCATCGCTATTAGGTTGAAGACCATTGCTACAAAGTTAATCGGTATCGATCCCCTATAGCAAACAGCTTGGATCCTCGATGAACCTGGCGCGACTCGGGTTGGCTTTGCTGCCGGTGCTGCCTGCCTTGGGACGACCAGTCGAGGCAGCCGTTGTGATGTTTTGATCTCATCACAGACATGTCATGGAATTCCTGTCACCAGGTATCCCGCATCGGCCATGTCACATTGTGTTCCCCATGCGTTCATGTGTGAGGTGTATTTGATGGAAGTAAGTCACTTTTGCTCAGTTCCACGCCACGGGCTCACTCTAAGTGCTCAAACACACGCCGTGATACAGGTGTTCAATCTTGCATGTTCTTTTTATCAAGAGAGCACCTCTTCCGTTTTGGCACTTTGTCAGGACTGGTGGCTTTGCGACTATGCCACTGGTGGCGGCTTGGATTGGCGGAAGCTCAAGTGGCAAATGCAGAGCATCGCAGGTGCGGGAAGAAGCGAAAAAGGACTGTCGCTAGTAGTAACAGGTGCCACGCTAGTAGTAACAAGTGCCTTACTAGCAGTAACAAGAAGCTACTAGTAACAAGTGCATCGCTACTAGTAACAAG